TAAATATTTAATAAAATTTGCTGTTTTTTCTGCTAAATTGGCGATTGTGGAAGGGAACGGATGAGAAGAGTGCAAAAAGCATAAACAAAAAAGATTTTAAGAAAAATCAAAATAAGTTTGAAATGACGTAAATAGAAAATGGACTAATGCTATTGAAAACTAGAAGACGGCCTAATACTACCTATTTATTGTTATTAATAATAATTAGAGTATCATAAAAACAACAATTTAAAATTAATACGGTGTTTTTGGGTAATATCCTGAGTTTTTCGTATGTCGTTCAGTTCGTTGACTTAGGCTTCGCTAAACGCGCACTCAGCACGAATTCGAATTTAGCTCTAGAAATACCGACAATGTCTTAGCTCGAAAGCAAAGTCTGAGCAATATCAAAGTAGGTACGGTCTATGGATCTCAGGCTTAGTCGCCAGATGTAGACCGTTCTTTACAATTCGAATCTATATGGAAATCACTTATACAACAAGGTGTCATCAACAATCAAGAATATATATACAAAATGTCTCGCCAAAGTGCGCCTAGAACAGGAAGGTACAGAATTTCTTATACAAAAAGGAGTAAGGCAGGGAGACCATCTCTCCCCAAAGTTATTTTCAACGGTGCTTGAATCTATTTTCAGGCGTCTAAATTGGGAAACGACGGTAATACAGGTTGATGGAGAACTACTGAATCATTTGTGTTTGAAAAAATTGCTATATGTCAATGTAAAATGGAAAGAAGCACGCTTAGTCTAAAAATATCGGATAAGGTTAACAACGTCCACATTAGGGAAAAAACGAAAATAATAGATGTAAGAAAAAAGAAAACAATACTACTGAAATTGCACTGGGCAGGACACATCTGTAGGTTGAATGATAACAGATGGACCAAACGTTTAACAGAATGGATACCAAGATACAGGAAAAAAAAATGGAGACCAAGCAAAAGGTGGAGAGACATTTTTAATCAGAGATGTGGACCCCTATGGATTGCGCCCTCCTTTCTGCCAAGGAGGGTCGCGTTCGTATACGGCTTAGAGATCTCTCGTCAGATCGGTAAGCCAATACATAAAGGTGGGATTTAGTGGGTAAAAGTCTCCACATAACCACGCAGTTGGCTTCGTGGTATGCTATGAGCATTCCCCACCTCCCTCCGCCGCTTTCTGGAGGGTTGCCCATATTTGCTTCGGGCGCAAAAAAACCCCTATGGATGCGAGTGACTAGGGAAAGAGATATGTGAAAAGGTTTAGGAGAGGCCTACGCCGCAGAGGCAACTACTACTAATATCGACTAAGCCATACACCATACATACATAATTATACGTAAAAAAATACATATTAACTATACTATTATTACCTAGATTAATCATAAATCAAGTTTAAAGTATTGTGGTAGAGATAAAAGCTATTTTTTTTTATTTTTTATTTATATGATGTGTAATGTGTTAGACAGTTATTCGCAGTGCAATACGAAATGGTGACTCTAGAAACCATGCTGCAGTGGCGGATAATGAAAATAGAAAAAGTGTGGTTGAAATTTAGAATCGTTTGGCAGGAATTTGGGGAAGTAAGGTATTTCATTTGGTAGAGGTTTGGTCCGCGATTATAATAATACCACTCACATTAAAAGGTAATGCACCGTTCTTGAGAAAAATCAAAAAGAAAATCCCATAGAACTAACATCAAAATGATAACTCAAAATGAATTAAGGGGTTAATAGGTGGTGAAGAGGGAGGCGGGGCAGTTGTAGAGTCGCCCCCTACTCTACAACCTACATCCTGTCGGACATGCTTAGTTTTTTTTTATAAATTTTTAAAAATCTAATTTTGAGTTTATGTTTTTGTATTGTTTTTGACTATAAAACTGATTTATGGGGGGAGCGAGTTGGGGGAGGGAAGCACTACGTAGCGCAGCCGAGGGAAGTATGGTCGATGGAGCCCCGTTTCGCGGGGCTTCTACTTCTGAGTGGTTTACTAAAAAATACCCACGAAGGGAATAGCGGGGTCTATTCGCTCGCTCGCTCGCTCACTCGACCCTGCCATTCCCTTCTAGTCTAACTCCTAAGTCTCGAGCTCGCGTCGCTCGCTCTTGCACTTAACAAAACACCAATATATTATCTTTTATAATTACTTTAAATTATAAACATAAAATATAATACAATAATAAGCACACTACGGCTCGCACAGGAGCTTGCATTTTGGTACGACGGGCGAGGGCTGCTCTCCCTACGTGATTACGGCTTTACAAAAACACTTTAGAAGTAGGGCAGACAAGACTACGTAGATTCGGGGCGTAATGATTTAATTTTAGTATACTTTATAGATATCGATCAGATCAGATATCTATAAAGTCAGGTTGCCTTTGCTCCCGACACAGCCACAAAATTCTGTATGCTATCCAACTTTCACGGTAATATCGTATAATTTTTTCTCAGAAGGGCTAGAACCCAAAGCCGTAAAATCAATTCATAAAAAATCATTTTCCATACTTTACGCATTTTAGGTTATAAATTATAATAGTTTTTATCATAGATAAATAAATATGTAGCAAGCTAGTTTTTATTTATTTTTTCGATAACGGTGCATTACCTTGTGAGTGTTATTAAAAACAAGTAAATTGTTTACTTTAACTGTGAATCCTTCGTATTTTCTATAGGTAAAACTTTGTGAAGTTGTTTATATTTTATTTAAGGACTTTTCAGATATTTTATATGGGGATTTCTATATTCAGGAGTTGCATTTGATAGACTGTAATGAAGATGGTGATGATTATTCAGGTGACCATCATCTGGATCTAACATGATGGGCAGAACACATAGAGTAGTTTGAATCCTGTAAATGCCTTCAATCAATTTATAATAAATGTATAGAACAAGGTATCGAAAAGATTGGTGTCTATAAAGTTAGCGCAAGCCCTTACTTATGTTATTAAAGGTGCAACACTGTGCTTATTGTTTTTAACAATCAAGTTTTTTTAAAAACAACAAAAACCCTAAAGAAAAGTTCAGGCATCACATTTTTCGCATAATTACATTTTGTCATAAACCTATCAAATTTAAAGGCACAACTTGTAGAACACAATAGAAATACATGCATCAAATGGTTCTCAAACAATAGATAAACACAAGACTTCTCTTTTCTTTACATAGTTATTGTATTTACTATCTTATTTAGTTGTTATATTAATTAGGTGGTTTAAGTATTTATGATTTGTTATTATAGATGATGTTGTTTAATAATTTTAATTTAATTTTAGAGAATATGTTTATTATACTATAATTTATTTCAGTTTTTATTTATTTCCAGACTGACATAGTGCATTCCCATCTTAATCTTATTTTGTGGGGAATCACAAGCTGGTTCCTTGCAAATTATTGCTGCAAAACTACAAGCAGAATCTTCAAAAAGGACAACTTTATATGTACTGAAGAACAACCAAACATTTAAAAGCTTAATACTGAGTGAACCTGAAAAAGAAAGTACTCTATATGAAAAATAATTAAATTACATAAGAATTTTTTTTGAAATCTAATATTTAATACTGTTTTAATTTTGAATTAAAAATATTCTATTTTTAAGCTGCCACTACTTGCATATTATATAGAGCCACCATTTTAAGATTTTTTTCTGCTTCGGTTTGTCATATGTTTTCATACTCCTACAATGAAAGTAATGTCGCTTAGTTATTTTAAAATTTGAGGAATTTTTGGAGGTTTCAGAGACCAACTGATGAAAATTTTCGTGATTTTATAAAATAGGTTTAGGACAATTTTAATATACCGTATTTCTAATTAGTAAATTTATCCTATTTTTGGTATAAAATATTTTGGCTTTAAGATAGTTTTTCTCAAACTCACGAAAAACTAACAATGTATTTGGCTAATTTTTCCTATCTAAAAATGTTATTTTTTTGTAGCCTCTAACCTTTTTACTTGTCCTTAATATTAGATATTTGTCATTTAGATATTTTTTACCAGGTCTGATTAACTAAAAGATGTCGTTTAGTGATATTTTAGCCTTTTTCTAATATTTTTTTGGCTTTAAGATATTAGTTAAGATGTTAGTCAGTTGAGTTTTTCACATTGATCTTAAACTGTCGTGTAACTAGGCTATGATTTAATATTGGAGTTGTAGGTAGGAACAAAAAAAAAATTGAGTCACTGCACTGCAAGCTGGCACTTAGTGAATAGGTATATGACCATACGTCCCATTGACTCGCCGCTTGATCAATAGAAATATTTTTCATTTAAATTTTACTTATTCCTCTGTTGTAGTGATAATTTTTGAGTTACTCATATTTTACGAATATTGATCTATATTTTAGAATCATGGATCAAAAAGATATGCGTATTTCGAAATGAATAAACCTAGCTTTAATTAATGCAGGTAGGGGAGAGTTGGATATTACTGTGCCCCTAAGATCTTAGACCTATAATTTGGGCAGAGTTTGATATACAAAGTGTTTAAGTGGTAGAGAATTTATTTAGCTACACATCCAGCATGGCAAAATATTTAAAAAAATGAACAGAAAGTAATTATTGTGATATTTTAAGAAAACGCGAGAACATGGTATTATCAGACTGGTTTGATAATACTGTGCCGAGGTTTGATAAAACCGTGCCCAGAATAATATTGTGAATTTCTATTAGTAACCTTAGAAAAAATTCAATTTTAAGATATTATTTTATTTTTGTTGAGATATTATTTTAGAACAATATAAATCAACTTTATAAAATATAACAAAATAATAAGAGAAATAGATAATTTATGTCAACAAAGGTTATGTATTTCTACATTTATTATTTTATTATCAATTACTAGGTATTCAAATTAGTAGATCTTTGAATAAAATTATTAGTCAGTCTCAGCAAACCCTACAATCAGTCTTATAATTAGAATTAAAGTACCATTAATCAATACAAAAATTTTCGGCAGAGTATTTTCCGCTACATTCCTTACGTATCCAATTCTGCTCGAATTGGATATGTAAGGAATCTGCAACAACGGAACTAAATTTCTCTACCACGACCAAATTCGTGACATACGGCGCAAGTGTCACGATTCTCCACATCATCGTCTTCATCATCATTACACAACTGAGAAATGGGAATATCATCCTCATTATCTTCACTGGTGCTGATATATTTCTTTGACCTAACTTTATGTCTCTTTCTTCCTTTTGCGAGCTTTGTCTTTTTGTTTTTCAGATAGTCTTCATCCTCACTTTCAGATTTCATTTACTTTACTTGTCGTTTTAGTTTTTACTTCTAGCTACTGTTTTTCCAATCTTAAACGATAATCTTCTCCCAATCTTAATCGATCCCTAATTCGGGACATCAAAGTTCTTGTCTTTATTTTGCTACCGTTCCGTATAGTCACTAAAACAGCCCTCATATTTTCTGAATTTCACTTCTTTTCTGCTATATATATAGAAGAAAAGAATAAAAAAAAAAAATAAAAAAAAAAAATATATATATATATACTATATAATAGGCGATTCGGGCTATGATTTTTAAGTGCTGGATAGCTCTACATGCGTTTAGTTTTTGCAATATGTTATTATTATAACCTATTAGTTCCAAGTACCTCGGTAAAAGATAATATACCAAAGGTTAATTATTATTCAAGATAATAATAATATAATGAACTTTTATTTTTATGATAGCAAAATGTTTTTGAAGATTATAAAGTCATGTAATTAAAAAAATTTGTTTATTTTGAAGTATATTAAAGTTGCTTCTGGCCGGATTATTCCAACGTTGTTGCTGATTTTGTCACTGATGTGGAACTTCAAAGAATGGACCTTTTTTTTGTCATCTGTAGTAGATCCCAGCTATGGTTTGATCGCTCCTATAAAATTGCATCACGCTATAAGCAGGAGTGCTACCGGGCGTGGGCTGACGCATCGATGTCGCGGAAATACCAAGAAGACAAGAAGTATAATTAATAAGTGTAACTCTCCTTCCAGTTCTTTTAAAAAATCAGTGCTCAGTGCGCAAAGCACTTCTCCCCATACGTCAACAAGTCGAGCGATGGAGTTTCTCATATTGTGCTGAAGACATGTGCTCCGGAGTTGGCACCGGTTCTAATGCGTCTTCTCCGGTACTCCTACTGGGCGTAAGCGTAGTCCCGAATTCATGAACGACAGCTTTGGTGTACCGATACCTAAAAATGGCGACAGTTTAGACCCGTTCAACTACAAGCCTATTAGTTGATTTATATCTCCTCGTACTCCAAAACCATGGAAACCATTATAACCGTCAATACTGTTTTCGTTGAAGTCATTCAGCTGGTGATCGTCTACTGTACCTGACTCCAAGACGATGGATGCATTAGAGTCCTAGAGACCTTGGCTCTAAGTTTGGACATATTGAAGGCCTTCGATCGGGTTTGGCAGAAAGCGCTTCCTTCGAAGCTTCGTTCGTATGGGCTTCCCAAAAAAGTTTGCTATTGGATCACCAGTTCTCTTGAAGATCGGAGTATAGGGGTCCACAAGGCTGCGTGCTAACACTTTCGCTATTTTTTTGCAAATCAATCATATGTTGCAAACTAGTAACATACGTTAATATACGGATGAAAGCACAGCTGATATATTTACATCTGCCGTACCAATATTTCTCGGAAACACGTCGTCGAGTACCAGTACAAACTTGTGTCTAAAGTAGCGTCATTGTTAAATAAAGTCTCGGATTGGTCTCTGAAGACGCAGATTTGCATGTTCACCGCTGAAAAGAACTCTTTTGTTGTATCTACAATTTCAGGGCTTCTTCATTATCGGCGTCGACTTCTCGGATGACGTACATTTTCAATCGTACATGGTCAATTGGAAGGGAAGGCTAAATTGGCTTCTACAAAACTTGGCGTGCTCAGCAGAGCAGAACAGTATTTAATTCCGGCACACAGCTTGTAAATTTACAAGACACAAGTTCAACCTCACATGGAATATTGTTCTCATCTCTGGGCCGTTACACCTCATTGCCACCTCCTTCCACTTGACCGTATCCAGCGAAGAGCGGCTCGAATAGTTGATGACCCGAGTTCTTTCTGATCGGCTTAATACACTGGCGCTGCGAAGAGAACTTAAGGAATTCTTTTGAGTAATTCCAGCCGCCAAACTCCACCAACGCACATCGTGACAAAACTCACGATACCATCTGCACCATCTGGATGCTTGGTGGTTTACCGCTGTGCGATTAACTAGGAGTTTTCTTCCTTGCTACAACTTATTTGTGGAATCATCCATCAGTTGAGCCGTATGCTGGTTTACCCTCTCTTCTATGTATTAAAAAAGTTTATAGTTTGTTAAATTATTTTAAGTGATTAGCGCTACAATGTACCTACTTGTGAATTATTTTTTATTTTTATAAAACCGAGATCTTTGACGATATTTGTAACTAAGTACTTTCAATTTTATGATAAAAGGCTGTTTTCTTTTGTAAACTTTATTTTAAATCATGAAAGCTAATAAGTTTGTTTAAATAAAAACAAATAGTGTTTTTTTTTGTTAAACTTAAAATCCTCGTTGGATTATTAGGGCAAGATCTTATTTTAATTTGACCTCTGGTAAAAATATCTCAGATAGAAATTAATCAATTATGAAGTGGTAAGTAACTCTTGCCTGATCATAGAAATATTTTTTTCTTATGTAAGTGTTTTATCCATGCTCAAATTCTTCAAAAATATCTGGTTACAACTTTTTTCCGGTTCTTACATCAAGAGTCAGTTGTCGGTTGGTGGATTTTTCCCGTTCATGATTTTTTAATATTTTTTACTAAGCGCCACTAACTTTGGAAATTGTACAAAGCAAAACGGTAACTTATTTACACTAGGTAATGAAGAGTCCAAACAGCTTTTAAATTATGTAAGAACCATTCTAATAGGATAAACAGTACAATTTATATAGATTTTTTTTTTCAAAAATTCAAACTTTAATCAGCTCTCCTGTAGGTACAGTTGCTAATATTATCAATTAATTTATGATTGTAAATCTTGTATATTATGTTTATCATTGTTTTACATAAGTAATTGAAATTTTGTAATCAATATTGAACTTATTTTCATGTTTAAACTCATCAAATTACTTTATAGAAAGAACTAAGTTGCTGGAGAAATTTTGTCTCCTGTGAGTTGTGTTATACTCTTAGTATTGTGCACTTCCAACTAGTGTATATATATATATATATATATATATATATATATATATATATATATATAAAAATTTATATATAATATTTTTTTACGTTATAATTTAAGTTAAATTATATTAGTAGTATAGTTGTAGCACGAATGGGTCGGCTCGACCGGGGAAGGACCACGCTCTCGCAGAATACCAGCGTGAAATAGTAGCTTAATGCTGCTGTATTTCGTATGGTGAGTGTAGAGAACCGGAGACCCTTTTTACTGGAAATGAGGCATTCCATCTCAGTCCTCACGGGTGACAACGCATCTGCATTTTGATTTGTAATGGAAGATGGATGTAGATGTCTATGGGCCGCAGCAAACACTTACCATCAGGTGGATTGTGTGCTCGTTTGTCACCCTGTCCTAAAAATATTATATATATATATATATATATATATATATATATATATATATATATATATATATATATATATATATAATATATACTAGTTGGAAGTATAGTATAATGTATTTCTATACCTTAGAACCACCTCCTATTAAGTGGCCAGCATAAAATTACCGATCGCGGCGGCGACGCCGCAATATGGCGGTTTCATTCCGTCCGGACTTTAATATTAAGTGCGGACTAATAAAATGATAAATATTGTTGCCATTACATTATGCATAGCTTTGCTAGGATACACAAATTATTGGAATAAGCTTAAACTTAGGAAAGCCTTAAAATATTTCGTGAAAAGTTTGTTAATTCTCATATATTTTTCCCATAAAGTTACTAAGAATAACTGAAGATGACTGGCAAACTACTGCAATAAATAAACTGTTTTGTAAGTTTTGTTTTCAGTAATGTATGTTTTTTTAATTTTAATTTGTATTTTGACTAAATAAGTATAATTTTTACTTAAAACACATTCTGAAGATGACTGGTAAACTACTGCATTTAATAAACTGTTTTGCAAGTTTTTTTTTTAAAGTTATGTATGTTTTTATTAATTTTAATTTGTATTTTGACTTAGTAAATTGAAATTTTGTAATTTTTTCTTTTATTCAGCGCTGGGATGGGCAAACAAAAAAAACTCAAATAAAAACCTTAAAAAACGGACCAATGTTTAAATTTTCCCGACATACGAGACAAGTGCAGTTGTACTGACTATAGATGAAGTTATTGGGTATATATCACATTTATTTTAATTTTCATGAAGTTGTCGTTCTCCGGTAGGAGGGGTTTCGCAAAATTTTAATATGATCGATACCAAGTATCGAAACAAAAGTATCGATACTACTTGTTAATGAGTATTATTGTTAAAATATTAGAAAAGTTTAATTCAAAATGTATAACTTCCAACTAATTATTGAACTGCTATTCTTGTACAATCTTTCATGAAAAGTAACTATCAACTCTTGGCCGCTGTTACCATTGCTCCAGCTTTGGAAAATAATCTTTCTAACGGGCGGCACAGAAGTTCCGGGTATTATGAGATATTTACTAGCAATGATCCTTTTTAAGGCACATACTGGGCTTCTACGGTACGTCAGTGTTTCATTTCTATCCAAGTTCATGTGCTCGGTGTGTCGGATTTGAGCTAATTTACGGTGAGGGCTACAAAAATCATATTTTTTGGTATTGGAAGTTGTTTCCCGAGAGGTCGTTGGTCGTGGCGTGTCAACAGCGTTTACAGTTATTTTTATAAAAGAAATTACTCATGCATATGCATTTGCGCCTGTAAAGTGAAAGTTTTTAAACGTGGGTCTAAAATTATGGATATGGCGAAAATATGATTATTTTATATTTGTTCGAATCTGTTGTTCAAAACAGTGTAATTTACTGATACAACTCCATTAATTCTATCGGTAAATTCTAGTATGTACCGAAATTTTGAATTTTAATTAATTGGAAATAGTAGCCGTGCCGTGTAATGGCGGTTGATAATATCCACTACCCCATATCTTCCCGTGGGTGTCGTAAGAGGCGACAAAGGGACATAGAAAGGAGATTGGCAGCAGCATCTTCCTAATAACAACAATAACATAATAAAAAACTGCGGTTGCCAACCCGCTCGCCAAGCGTGGCAACTATGGCAAATATGCCCCCATGAGC